CTCAACATAATAAAAGCTATATATGACAAACCCACAGCAAGCATCACCCTCAATGGTGAAAAATTGAAAGCATTTCCCCTGAAATCAGGAACAAGACAAGGGTGCCCAGTCTCACCACTACTATTCAACATAGTTTTGGAAGTGTTGGCCACAGCAATCAGGGCAGAAAAAGAAGTAAAAGGAATCCAGATAGGAAAAGAAGAAGTGAAACTCTCTCTGTTTGCAGATGACATGATCCTCTACATAGAAAACCCTAAAGACTCTACCAGAAAATTACTAGAGCTAATCAATGAATACAGTAAAGTTGCAGGATATAAAATTAACACACAGAAATCTCTGGCATTCCTATACACTAACAATGAGACAACAGAAAGAGAAATTAAGGAAACAATACCATTCACCATTGCAACAAAAAGAATAAAATACTTAGGAGTATATCTACCTAAAGAAACAAAAGACCTATACATAGAAAACTATAAAACACTGATGAAAGAAATCAAAGAGGACACAAACAGATGGAGAAATATACCGTGTTCATGGATTGGAAGAATCAATATTGTCAAAATGGCTATACTACCCAAAGCAATCTATAGATTCAATGCAATCCCTATCAAACTACCAACGGTATTTTTCACAGAACTAGAACAAATAATTTCACAATTTGTATGGAAATACAAAAAACCTTGAATAGCCAAAGTAACCTTGAGAAAGAAGAATGGAACTGGAGGAATCAACCTGCCTGACTTCAGACTATACTACAAAGCCACAGTCATCAAGACAGTATAGTGCTGCACAAAGACAGAAATATAGATCAATGGAACAGAATAGAAAGCCCAGAGATAAATCCACGAACCTATGGTCACCTTATCTTCGACAAAGGAGGCAAGGATATACAATGGAAAAAAGACAACCTCTTTAACAGGTGGTGCTGGGAAAACTGGTCAACCACCTGTAAAAGAATGAAACTAGAACACTTTCTAACACCATACACAAAAATAAACTCAAAATGGATTAAAGATCTAAATGTAAGACCAGAAACTATAAAACTCCTAGAGGAGAACATAGGCAAAACACTCTCCGACATAAATCACAGCAGGATCCTCTATGATCCACATCCCAGAATTTTAGAAACAAAAGCAAAAATAAACAAATGGGACCTAATGAAACTTAAAAGCTTTTGCACAACAAAGGAAACTATAAGCAAGGTGAAAAGACAGCCCTCAGATTGGGAGAAAATAATAGCAAACGAAGCAACAGACAAAGGATTAATCTCAAAAATATACAAGCAACTCCTCCAGCTCAACTCCAGAAAAATAAATGACCCAATCAAAAAATGGGACAAAGATCTAAACAGACATTTCTCCAAGGAAGACATACAGATGGCAAAAAAACACATGAAAAGATGCTCAACCGCACTCATTATCAGAGAAATGCAAATCAAAACCACAATGAGATACCATTACACGCCAGTCAGGATGGCTGCTATCCAAAAGTCTACAAGCAATAAATGCTGGAGAGGGTGTGGAGAAAAGAGAACCCTCTTACACTGTTGGTGGGAATGTGAACTAGTACAGCCACTATGGAAAACAGTGTGGAGATTTCTTATAAAGCTGGAAATAGAACTGCCATATGACCCAGCAATCCCACTTCTGGGCATTACACACTGAGGAAACCAGATCTGAAAGAGACACGTGCACCCCAATGTTCAACGAAGCACTGTTTATAATAGCCAGGACATGGACGCAACCTAGATGCCCATCAGCAGATGAATGGATGAGGAAGCTGTGGTACATATACACCATGGAATATTACTCAGCCATTAAAAAGAATTCATTTGAATCAGTTCTAATGAGATGGATGAAACTGGAGCCCATTATACAGAGTGAAGTAAGCCAGAAAGATAAAGACCATTACAGTATACTAACACATATATATGGAATTTAGAAAGATGGTAACGATAACCCTATATGCAAAACAGAAAAAGAGACTCAGATGTATAGAACAGACTTGTGGACTCTGTGGGAGAAGGCGAGGGTGGGATGTTTCAAGAGAACAGCATTGAAACATGTATATTACCTAGGGTGAAAAAGATCACCAGCCCAGGTTGGATGTATGAGACAAGTGCTCGGACCTGGTGCACTGGGAAGACCCAGAGGGATCGGGTGGAGGGGGAGGTGGGAGGGGGGACCGGGATGGGGAATACATGTAAATCCATGGCTAATTCATTTCAATGTATGACAAAAAGCACTGCAATGTTGTAAAGTAATTAGCCTCCAACTAATAAAAATAAATGGAAAAAAAAAGTGTTCATTCAACCTGCTGCCTCTCTGGAATCTATTTTTTGTTTTTAATCTGTCCAAATGATCTAAGTTTACCTAAAACAACTGTTGTAGTATCTTGATGACTCTGGGAAAATCGTTCAAACATGTATAACAGGAGCCAAAATGCCTGCCTGTTGTGAAAAATAGAATGATGTGTGTCCATTCAAGAAGAACGTGCTGTATCTATCTAGGGTTTATTGCTGTCTTTTTATAGGAAGATAGTTTCACTATTAGTAGGGTGAGTAGCTTTTTTCATCAGAAATGATGCAGTGGATAATGACCTCACCTTGTCCTCCTCATCCCTCATACACAAGTCAGCTTCTGGGTTAGTGATACAGGGTACAGACTTATGCTTCTCCATGACAGGTGATCACCAATACACTAAATGAAATGTAGTAAGCTAAGGAATTCAGCCTCCTTATTTTCTAACTGTAACAATGAAGACTATGCTGCTAGGTATGTGCTGTTCACATGTGTGTGTAACTGTATATGATTTTTTTTTGTATATGAATTTTTATATAAATATTTTATATCTCCTTCCCGGCACCTGGATTATGATAATATTAAGTTAGCAGGCCACACCATTCAGAAGAGACAGGAAATTAACAATCCTGAGAAAAGAGGATATTGGATTCTACTTGAGAGGGTGAGACATCCAGCTCCTAATGAAAAACAACTTTTAAACACAGTAGTATCACCTTCCAAGTGTTTAGTAAATATTAAGCTCTCTTTTCACACTTTCAAAGGCTTAAAGCACCACATAGGTTGGTTGCAGGTCCCCTGCAACTCCAAAAGCCTATAATTCTAGTACTGACTGGAATTTAAGAAATCGGATTTCTAGTCCAGGCTCTTTCCCTAACAGGTAATGTGATTTCAGGCATAATATTCAAGCCTGTGTGGACTCTTCACCTATAAAACAATATTTCTTAGCACTTTTCATCATTGATTTCCTGACAGAGGATCCAAAGTAAATAAATCAAAAGTCATTTATTCTTTTAAACAACTTAAACATATTTTAAATACTGATGAAAAACTTTTCTTTTTTGGTTGGGGGGGGTCTGAGTTAAATTAGTCTGAATACCCATAAATTGCAAGGAAATCCTACTTCTAAAAGCATTAATTTCATCAAGAAATATAGTAATTAAAAGAACATTTAATGTAAATTTAAATTTAGTTTTCTTTCACCTCAAAGTGTCAGGTAATGTAAGGCTCCCATCTAAACCATTTTTTTTAATCTTCAGATTTAAAATTTTAATGAATAGGTTTTTAAAAGTGGTGTGTAAGGTACAGAAACTTGCTATTTTTTTATACATCAAGTGATCAAGATCTCATCTGTAAGATAAACTCATTTTCATAAAGTACTTCATTATTTGTCATACCGGTTGGTCACAAAGTGAGCCTTATTGTACTGCAGCAACTGGATTTTTTTTGTCTCATAACAGTTCAATAAAATAAACTGGCAAATAAGAGTTTCAAGATAGAAAAGCAAGGGGGTTTCATATCCTATTCAGAATTACCATAAAAACATATTTTGGGGGTAGGATTAATGTGTGATCTACATGCTTTGATCTACTGTGCCTGGGCTGGAATCCTAGCTTTTGTCTCTATCTTGCTCTGTGGCCCCTAGGCAAGCCATTTAATTGAAGCCATTTAAGTAGCCTCACTCCAAACGTGTTGGGAGGATAAAATGGTATCAACAGTAGCATTCTAAAAAGAACAAAGAAATTAATACACAAATATCACTGCTGTGACCAACTGGCTCAATCATTTAAGTGCCTGTGGGGGGGGGGGGTGGTTGGAAGGGTTGGAACCCTACACTATTTCATTCCATTAATTTCTTTCTGAATCCCGTTCTGTTTTTCGCAGAGCCAAAGAGGCCCAAGGTTATCTATGCATTAGTCCACATACTTCACCATTATGGGTACAGCCTCCTTATTAATCTTTCTCAGGCCTGGCGTTCAGCCAGAACAGAGAGCTGTCATAACGTTAAGACTCAGGCACATTCTACTTCATATGTTCACTATCAAGCTTCTTCTCTTGTGAGGCAGCATCAGGAGCAGAAACCTATCTGGAAGCTAAAGATGCGTGAGCAGATTAGAATCACTGCTCTCTAATGGCCTTCTAAGCCTACAGGTGGGCATTGTCCATTCCGAGCCGATGCAGTCAGCAGTTCTCAAAAAGCTCTGAGCCAACGGCACGCATTCTCTCCACGAAGCGTCATTTCTTACAAGTTTTTTCGCTAGAAAAGTGCCTGCAAATGACGGACATGTCTGAGGGGGGAAGAATGGGAACCCTAGTGACAAGTCTTTGGTGGTGTTACTGCACACCGTGGACCTTTCAGAGGAAACTGACTAGGGGGTGGGGCTGGCTTTCAGTCGACTACCTGGCATCGGTACCCGGTGTCAGAGCTGGCCTCCGTAGGAAAGGTTGAGATGGCCTTCCAGCGACTCGATGGTGGAGTGAGTGGGCTATTTGGCCCCCGGGGAGGGGGGGGGAGGAAGAAACTGAAACAAGTGTTTATGAGATGTGACAAAACAAACCAATCCCACACCCCACCCCCTCAACCTCACAGCCGAGCAGGTCTGCAACAAGCATCCCTCGGAACCTTCTCTCCCCCAATCCCTTCCCTTAAATGAGAGAGCAAGCGCCCGGGAAGGCGCGGTGGGGGGTGCGCATTACCGTCCTGCAGGACGAGGGTGGGCTGCACCGCCTGCACTCGGAACTGTCTGGCCCTCCAGCCGGGGCTCGGCGCCCGCACCACCTCGCTGTCGGACAGCCAGGTCACGGTCTCGAAGTTGTCCCCGCGGGCCAGCGCCTCGGCCTCGGCGTGGTGCACCGCCACCCGGTCGAACTGGTAGAGGCCACCCGAGTGGTCGAAATGCACGTGGGTAGCCACGGCTAGCAGCGGCCGGCAAGCCGCGTCGTCTCTGGCCGCGCGGTCCCGCAGGAGGCCGGAGGAGTACAGGTACTCGGGGAGGCTGCGCAGCCCCAGGCCGGTGTCTATCACCACGTCCTGCTCGGAGCCCCGCACCAGCCAGATGTTGGCGCGGTTGCCAGACTCGTAGAAGCGTTCCTGAATCCAGAAGATGCCGTCGCCCAGGGACTTGTGGGCGTACCACTCGAGCGCCGACATGCTGCGCGGGGTATGGCGGCCCAAGCCGAGCGGGAGTTTGTAGGCGCGCGCGCGCGTGTGCCTTCCCGCGGGCGGGCTGCAGCGGTGTGGAGCCGTCTGCCCGCAGCCGGGGAGTAGGCGCAGAGCCGGGAGGGGGCGGGCGGGGGATGCGGCTGCGGTGTGTGTGTGTGCGCGCGCGCTAGGCGAGGAGGAAGGACTCGCGGAGAGGCGCTGCCTCTGGAGTGTCCGCCCGCACCCTCACGCTGGGTCCGCGGAGAGCACACGCCGCTCTCCCCGCGCCGGGGCGCCGGAATAGTCGCAGCCGTGACTGTCCGCAACACCAGGAACGTTAACGCACGGGCCAGTGCAGTAGTCGGGAGATCCAGAAAGTGACACGCTTCCTAACCTCAGGGTGGTCGGACCGCAGAGGCCTTAGAGCGACAGTGGGGGTGGGAGAAAGCCAGGCTGCCCGCCCGCCGCGCGCCTCGACGCGCATTTCCAGCCGGAGTGGAAAGAGTCGGGCCAAGGCTCGGGCGGGGGCGGGGGCGGGAAGGGCGCGGGGGGCGGGGGCGGGGCCGGACGACTACGGCGCCTGCCGAGGGCCAGAAAAGCTCTGGGCCCGGAGGGCGGGGCCTAGCTCGGGAGTGGGCGGGGATAACTGGTTGGGATCCGAACGCCGCTCTGAGGCCGCGTGGAGGGAGGAGCGCGCCTTCTCCAGAGGTGGAACCGGCCCTGGAGCGCCGGAACCTTCGGTCTGCACCCCTTGGTTGCCGGCCGGCACTTAACGGCTGTACGCTTTCCCAGAGCCTGGAGACTTAGCGAACAGGTAACTGAGGAGGCAGTCGAGGGCTTGGGAGGAGTTGGGGGTTTTGGGGGGGGGTAGTTAAAGGGGCACGTGGAGAAGGTGGGAGGAAGTCAGCCGTGGAGATTAATTAAAGAGCCTCTGGGTTGAGGGTTGTTGGAAGATAGCTTTTAGCTCCCCTTCTCCTAATCCCTTCACACTCTTAAAAAATAGTAGTTTCCACAGTTTACCTAGTCTACACTTCTTAGGACTCTGCGGCGAGTTAGAAGGGAATTGATGCTCTTACTGATGGTCAGTTTTCAATGCCGACGGTGTGATGGGCTCAAACGCGAATCATTGCCGCAGGCTTGCAGCTGAGGACAGGATATTCAGTATGTTTTCTTAACTGTTAGCACTTTATCCTGTATCCCAGGGAGGGAGGTTGTTGATAAGGTTTTTCTTCTCTTCTAAAAGAATTATATATTCGTTCCCCTGCCTTCCCTTGTTTTTGTTGAGTTTGTCCGCTCTTGGAAGAGACCAAAGAAAGTTGGTAGAGATAAACTAAAGAGAGGTGGAAGCAGCCGCACCTTGAGAAGACAGGGGAAGTGGATAAAGACATGGGTGTGGCCCCACCAGCCGCAGAGATCACCCCCACTAATAACACCAGGTTCCTCCTGTCCCCATCCCGCATCTTCTCGCTGTTGAAACACCTATTTAGGCTTCAGAAATTCCTTTGAGAACTTGTAAACCTCCCTGCTCAGTCAGGAAAAATTATGAAGACTCATGAGACAGCATTATGGAAGATAATTATGAAAACACTTACTGTGGCAGCTACTAATAAGCCTTCATAGAGGGAGAGGTGTGTTCTCCTCCCCTACAGTTAAGTCTTGGATGAGGATGTAGCCTTTCTGAATATTTTCCTAACCTAGTTAGAATTTATCCAGACATTCAGTTCTGCAAACTAAGTCATGTGTAAAAATACAGAAAATTTTTTTTTTAAAGATCACAATCTGGGTTCTCAAGGAATTTGAAGGAAGATAATATTTGCACACAAATGTTGGCAATATAAAGCAAATGAGATGTTTCCCCAGAGGAAGTTAAAAACTAGGTTCTATGACAATATGCATGGAAGGAACTGTTTCGGAGTAGCAATTTGAGCTGGCCTTAAAAGACCACTGTTGGTTAGCACGATCTCAGCAGGGACATACAGACCTCTCTATAATTTTATTTTTCCTCTAGTCAAAGGGAGGTGAATTGGAGTGATATCCTTACCAGGCTATGAGCGCAGCAATAATTCTCCCAATTTTTATTGGACTTTTGCCAGGCTTTGGTTAGTAATAGGGCAGGAAAAGGTGAATGAGTCTTCAAAGAGGCCCTTCACACTTACAGATCCTTCTGCTTGTACACTTTCCTCTATATATCCTTCCCTAGTTCTCAGCGTGGCTTTTTCCTTCCCTGTGTCAGGTTTGTGTTCAAATATTACAAGATACTGGAGAGCTTCTTTATCCAGTCTTTCTATAATAGCACCCATGTTTCCTGCTTTTTTTTTCATAGCACTGATCACTACCTGACACTTTCTATAAAGTACGATTGTGAGCACTATGAAAGCAGGGATTTTGTTTTGTTCACTATTCAAATTATGTAGAAGATGGTCTGACACAGAGGGTACTTAGTTAATACTTGAAGAGTGGATAATTGAAGAAATTACTGAGGAGACAGACAAGAACTGACAGTTACAACATGATATTTAAGGGCAATAAAAGCAGTGTGCATGCTATGTCACTTCAGTCATGACCAACTATGCGACCCTATGGACCACAGACTCTATGGACATAGGCTCCTCTGTCCATGGGATTCTCCAGGCAAGAATACTAGAGTGGGTTGCCATGCCCTCCTCCAGGGGATCTTCCCAGCCCAGGGATTGAACCAGCATCTCTTATGTCTCCCTCATTGGCAGGCGGGTTCTTTGCCACTAACGGCACCTGGGAAGCCCCCAAAGTGGTGTAGTACCTGGGAAACAGGAAAGAGATAGGTCTGCCCCCACTTAGGGTGGAGGAAATCAGAAGAGAAGTAGTATTTGCATAGTACTTTCAGTGATGATGGGGCTTGGTCAGGTGGGTGTGGCATCCCAGGCAGAAGGAGCACAACATGCGACAGCTGGGATAGCAGCATTGGGAGTGGTTAGAGCTGGGGTGGGAGAAGGCCATGGCGCCCCACTCCAGTACACTTGCCTGGAAAATCCCATGGACCGAGGAGCCTGGTAGGCTGCAGTCCATGGGGTCTCGAAGAGTCAGACATGACTGAGCAACTTCACTTTCACTTTTCACTTTTATGCATTGGCGAAGGAAATGGCAACCCACTACAGTGTTCTTGCCTGGAGAATCCCAGGGATGGGGTCGCACAGAATCGGACACGACTCAAGTGACTTAGCAGCAGTAGCAGAGCTGGGATGGGAGGGTGGTGCAGTATGCAAGAGGTGGAAAGTTAGACCCCAAAACTCTGTTAGTTAAGAGGATGATACATTAAGGTTTGTGTTCAAGAAAGATGACTGGAGAATGGGTTGAAAGGATGAGTCTAGCCTTTAGAGGGGCTTCCCAGGTGGATAAGTGGTAAAAAATCTGCCTGCCAATGCAGAGAGACGTGGCTTCAATCCCTGGGCCAGGAAGACCCCGTGGAGGAGGAAATGGTAACCCACGCCAGTATTCTTGCTTGGGAAATTCCATGGACAGAGGAACCTGGAGGGCTACAGTCCATGGGGTCGTGAAGAGTCAGACACAACTAAGCGATTGAGTATGCACCATGAGTAGGTGGCCATGAGAAGTTTACTTGTTCTGTATTAGAGATCCAGTCAAGAGATGGTGAAGCCCTGAACCAAGGCAGAAGTAAAGAAAGGCAAACTTGTAAGAAGGGACACAGGGCTGATTGTCTTCTGTGGTTAGATGAGGGGATCAAGGGAGATGGAGACAAGGTCAGCATGACTATTAGTTTCTAATTAGGGTAATTTAGGTGTCATTCATCAGGAAAGATACTGTGACCTGGCTTTCAGTGCCTCTCCTAGCTTCCATGTCTGCTTGTATCTGTTTCTGTATTATTCACCTACGTAGTATGTGCAGCAAACTTAACCTTGTGAGACGTGGAGGACAGCACAGTTAAGCCACAATTGTAACTCACAAAATGTTAGAGTGAGGAGGAGCTTCAGAGATCCTGCCACAAGGTTGTTTCTGTTATTAATTAGCATAGGCTTTCGCAGGTCAGCTCCTGGATGCTTGAACTGCACCCATGAAGCTCTCTCAGAACAATTTTGAATACGAATTTTCAGGAGGCATCCCAAAAAGGAAGGGTAGTACATCTGATGTTACATGTTTCAATCCAATCTATTTTGCCATTACTATTTCAGTTCATTGTAAAGATTAAAGATATTGCTGGGATTTGAAAGGTCTTCAGCTAACCTCGAAGTGTGCTACAGGCAGCCTAATATAAATATGAGGACAATGGAAAGGTAACCTGAACTTTTAACCCAGTTCTGGCTTTATTAGGAATTAGCTCTGTCTTTAAGCACCCCATTGACCTTTCAGTGCCTCACTTTCCTATATAATGGGAAGTTCAGTCTGAAGCCATGGTTCTTAATTTAGATTACACATTGGAGTCTCCTGGGATGCTTTAAAAAGTCCTGCTGCCTAAATCCTACCTCTACAGATTCTGATTTCATTGTTCTGGGGTGGTGTTTGAGGGTTTTTCTTTTTCTTTATGTTGTTGTTTGTTTAAATGTCCTGATGATTCCAGTGTACAGCCAGGTCCCAAACCACTTCCAGAAGATAACAAACAAAAACGAAAATTCTTAATAGTGGGCTGAATAAGTTGTATTTCTGTGGATAAATTAGTTCACCATTAGTTCAGTTCACTGGCTTAGTCGTGTCTGACTCTTTGCAACCCCATGGACTGCAGAACACCAGGCTTCCCTGTCCTTTACCAACTCCTGGAGTTTGCTCAAACTCATGTCCATTGAGTCAGTGATGTCATCCAACCATCTCATCCTCTGTCGTCGTCCCCTTCTCCCGCCTTCAGTCTTTCCCAGAATCAGGGTCTTTTCTAGTGAGTCATTTCTTCCCATCAGGTGGCCAAAGTATTGGAGTTTCAGCTTCAGCATCAGTCCTTCCAATGAATATTCAGGATTTATTTCCTATAGAATTGGCTGGTTTGATCCTTGCAATCCAAGGGACTCTCAAGAGTCTTCTCCAAC